ACACCACTGCATCCCACGCTTTACACCACTGCATCCCCCGCTTTACACCACTGCATCCCACGCTTTACACCACTGCATCCCACGCTTTACACCACTGCATCCCACGCTTTACACCACTGCATCCCACGCTTTACACCACTGCATCCCACGCTTTACACCACTGCATCCCAGGCTTTACACTGCATCCCATGCTTTACAACACTGCATCCCACACTTTACACTGCATCCCACGCTTTACACCACTGCATCCCACGCTTTACACCCCTGCATCCCACGCTTTACACCACTGCATCCCACGCTTTACACTGCATCCCACGCTTTACACCACTGCATCCCACGCTTTACACCACTGCATCCCACGCTTTACACTGCATCCCACGCTTTACACCACTGCATCCCCCGCTTTACACCACTGCATCCCACGCTTTACACCACTGCATCCCACGCTTTACACCACTGCATCCCACGCTTTACACCACTGCACCCCACGCTTTACACCACTGCACCCCACGCTTTACACCACTGCATCCCACGCTTTACACCACTGCATCCCACGCTTTACACCCCTGCATCCCACGCTTTACACCACTGCATCCCACGCTTTACACCACTGCATCCCACGCTTTACACCACTGCATCCCACGCTTTACACCACTGCATCCCATGCTTACAGTGGTGTAAAGCGTGGGATGCAGTGTAAAGCGTGGGATGCAGTGGTGTAAAGCGTGGGATGCAGTGGTGTAAAGCGTGGGATGCAGTGGTGTAAAGCGTGGGATGCAGTGGTGTAAAGCGTGGGATGCAGTGTAAAGCGTGGGATGCAGTGGTGTAAAGCGTGGGATGCAGTGGTGTAAAGCGTGGGATGCAGGGGTGTAAAGCGTGGGATGCAGGCAGTGGTGTAAAGCATGGGATGCAGTGTAAAGCGTGGGATGCAGTGGTGTAAAGCATGGGATGCAGTGTAAAGCCTGGGATGCAGTGGTGTAAAGCATGGGATGCAGTGGTGTAAAGCGTGGGATGCAGTGGTGTAAAGCGTGGGATGCAGTGGTGTAAAGCGTGGGATGCAGTGGTGTAAAGCGTGGGATGCAGTGTAAAGCGTGGGATGCAGTGGTGTAAAGCGTGGGATGCAGTGGTGTAAAGCGTGGGATGCAGGGGTGTAAAGCGTGGGATGCAGTGGTGTAAAGCATGGGATGCAGTGGTGTAAAGCGTGGGATGCAGTGTAAAGCGTGGGATGCAGTGGTGTAAAGCGTGGGATGCAGTGTAAAGCGTGGGATGCAGTGGTGTAAAGCGTGGGATGCAGTGGTGTAAAGCGTGGGATGCAGTGGTGTAAAGCGCGGGATGCAGTGTAAAGCGTGGGATGCAGTGGTGTAAAGCATGGGATGCAGTGGTGTAAAGCGTGGGATGCAGTGTAAAGCGTGGGATGCAGTGGTGTAAAGCGTGGGATGCAGTGTAAAGCGTGGGATGCAGTGGTGTAAAGCGTGGGATGCAGTGGTGTAAAGCGTGGGATGCAGTGGTGTAAAGCGTGGGATGCAGTGTAAAGCGTGGGATGCAGTGGTGTAAAGCGTGGGATGCAGTGGTGTAAAGCGTGGGATGCAGTGGTGTAAAGCGTGGGATGCAGTGGTGTAAAGCGTGGGATGCAGTGGTGTAAAGCATGGGATGCAGTGGTGTAAAGCATGGGATGCAGTGGTGTAAAGCGTGGGATGCAGTGGTGTAAAGCGTGGGATGCAGTGGTGTAAAGCGTGGGATGCAGTGTAAAGCGTGGGATGCAGTGGTGTAAAGCGTGGGATGCAGTGTAAAGCGTGGGATGCAGTGGTGTAAAGCGTGGGATGCAGTGGTGTAAAGCGTGGGATGCAGTGGTGTAAAGCATGGGATGCAGTGTAAAGCGTGGTATGCAGTGGTGTAAAGCGTGGGATGCAGTGGTGTAAAGCCTGGGATGCAGTGGTGTAAAGCCTGGGATGCAGTGGTGTAAAGCGTGGGATGCAGAGTAAAGCAGAGTAAAGAGGTCAGGCACTGATGTTAGATGAGAAGGCTTGGCTCACAGTCTCCGCTCTAATTCCCACGCTTTACACTGCATCCCACACTTTACACCACTGCATCCCACGCTTTACACCACTGCATCCCAGGCTTTACACCACTGCATCCCACGCTTTACACCACTGCATCCCACGCTTTACACCACTGCATCCCACGCTTTACACTGCATCCCACGCTTTACACCACTGCATCCCACGCTTTACACCACTGCATCCCACGCTTTACTCCACTGCATCCCAGGCTTTACTCCACTGCATCCCACGCTTTACACTGCATCCCAGGCTTTACACCACTGCATCCCACGCTTTACACCACTGCATCCCACGCTTTACACCACTGCATCCCACGCTTTACACTGCATCCCACGCTTTACACCACTGCATCCCACGCTTTACACCACTGCATCCCACGCTTTACTCCACTGCATCCCAGGCTTTACACCACTGCATCCCACGCTTTACGCCACTGCATCCCACGCTTTACTCCACTGTATCCCACGCTTTACCCCACTGGATCCCACGCTTTACTCCCCTGCATCCCACGCTTTACACCACTGCATCCCACGCTTTACACCACTGCATCCCACGCTTTACACCACTGCATCCCACGCTTTACTCCACTGCATCCCTCGCTTTACACCACTGCATCCCACGCTTTACACCACTGCATCCCACGCTTTACACCACTGCATCCCACGCTTTACACTGCATCCCATGCTTTACACCACTGCATCCCACGCTTTACACCACTGCATACCACGCTTTACACTGCATCCCATGCTTTACACCACTGCATCCCACGCTTTACACCACTGCATCCCACGCTTTACACCACTGCATCCCATGCTTTACACCACTGCATCCTACGGTTTACACCACGGCATCCCACGCTTTACTCCAAGCGTCCCTGCATCCCACGCTTTACACCACTGCATCCCAAGCTTTGCATTGCTTGGATGCAGCTGCTCGGCCATGGAAACCCATTCCATGAAGCTCTACGCACTGTTCTTGAGCTAATCTGAAGACCCTGCACCCATGTGACTCTGCGGAAAGTTGGCGACTTCTGCGCACCTCAGCATGCGCTGACCCCATTCTGTGATTTTACGTCGCCTACCACTTCGTGTCTGAGTTGCTGTTGTTCCTTATTGCTTCCACTGTGTTATAATACCACTAACAGTTGACCGTGGAATATTTAGTAGTGAGGAAATTTCACGAATGGACTTGTTTCACAGGTGACAACATATCACGGTACCATGCTTGAATTCACTGAGCTTCTGAGAGAGACCCGTTCTTTCACATGTTTGTAGAAGCGTCTGCATGCCTAGTGCTTGATTTTATACAACTGTGGCAATGGAAGTGATTAGAACACCTGAATTTAATGATTTGGAGGGGTGTCCCAATACTTTAGGCAATATAGTGTATATGTCTGTGATTGATTGCCTACAATGATCAACAATGACAACATGTTTTTGAAGCGTTGATCATTGTAGCCTATCACAGAAATATGTTGAGCGCGTGAACACAATGGCCAATCAGAGGTGTTTGAGAATTTGCTCAACAGCGCTCAAAATGCTAGAGGGAAATGCTGGTATCGTCAAATTTTTTAAATTTCAGTACCGACTTGGTACCAAAGTCGGTACTTTTGACAACTCTAGTTTATACTCTTGATTACATACAGAAATGGACCATGGTGAACATATTTAGACAGTTTGTGAACCCTGGTTTTTTTTCATATAGTTTAATGTAATTTTAAAAAAAGTCCAGTACAATGTTACTGCCGCTCGTCAATGGCTGCTGTCACAGTTGCAAGGCCACAAGAATCAATCCTCCGTAGGCTAGACCGGCCCATTTAACAACACTCGTTCCAACCTTTGTGGCCCTTGAATGTGTGTCCTTTGAAGTCCATGTCCTTCGAAGGATCCAGAGGAACCCAGCCCAGAGGAAAATAGCAAAATTTACTCTAGAATGAATGAATCCATTTCTCAAGTGTCAAGCAAGATTTTAACAGGGACTCACAGCCATCTATATTAAAAGACAAGTGAGAAATGAAAGAACCAACAGCAGGTTTTTGGTTTGCACAAATTTCAGAAGCTAAAGATTGGACTGCAGACTTCTGCTTTTAGTTTATTTTTGAGCCATAGGTCGCAACACCCTGTCCTGCAGAGTTTAGCTCCAAATCTAATCCAAAGTCACAACCGCATGTAATCTTCAAATATTCGGAAGACTTTGGTTAGATTTTTCAAGTGTGTTTTATCGGCGATGAAAATATTGAAAAAATATTGACCATTTTATTTAATTTCAGTCTTTCAATTGAAAATGTTTAATTTAAACAGACTTAATTCCCACAGTTCTGTGATAAGCATATTTGGATGTTCATACAAGCAATAGATGTCAGGATTAAAGCACATGCATGAAGCTCATCAAATATGCTCAACAAAAGCTCAAACATGACTTGACACTCAAGAACCAATGACTTTTCTTCTCATGTGTCAAGTATGCTTGAGCTTCCGGAAGAACCAATAAGATTTGTTCTTGCGCTTCAAGCAATCACGGTTGAGATTTTGATGACCATATTTGAAGTGCTTTATGTGTGTGTTGATCAATGATTATATGTGAATAAAAGCCTACATTTTGGGTGAACTATCCTTTTAATGTAAAACCAATTAATTAAAGATGATGGCTATGAAAATAAAGCAATTTCAATCAGTCACCTTGTTTTTATTAACATATATCACGATATCACATGCACACAGAACCTTCCCTGCTGAAAAATCCAGCATAAACCAGCATGAATGAATTCCATGTTGGTCCAGACTGGTTTGTGCTGGCGAACCTGCATCTTCATGCTGTCCTCAAGCTAAACTGAGCTGGTGTAGCTGCTCCACCAGCACTCCCACATCATTCCTTAAACTGGATTTTTCAAAAGGGTTCATCAATTCAGATCTGTGGACTTTAATCTGGCCAGTAATATCGTTGTTATGTTTGCAATGTTGAGTGATAGACCTGCAGTCTTGAGAGTGATGATTCAGGCGTAACTGTAAAAGACAAGAGAGACGGATCACACTTACTTAAATATTCAATACACCTGGCTTTTCATCTTAAATACAAGCCCAAATTGTAGTTATTAAATAAAATAATAACACTGCACATAATTCATAAAGGCATCATCTTAATTCGCAGAATTACAATGAACATGGAAAAGCAGCAAATATCAGGTTGTCATCTAATTTTTTTATCATAGAAATCAATAAAATCTTAAAATTTCTGTCAATGTAATTCTGTTTATGTAATCTCATTTATATCAGCGTGCAACTCAACAATAGTTGAGACTCAAATTTCAGATCAATTTTGAAAGGAACATGAATCCAGTAAACGTTACTATAGATGTTAGTAACTATAGACTTTGCTATTGAGTGCAGTTTTCATCGAACCCCTCGGGCCACAAGGAGTTTCACTCGGGAGGTGTCAGGTATTGGTGAGAGCGTGAGTAGCAGTGACAGGTGTGTAAGCAGAAGCAATGCGCTTTGACCCATTTTGAGGAACAGGTTATTCTATACAATGTAAGTGTTGTTCTATTGAATTCTATTTATTAGTTCTTAGAATAACTCTGGTTTCCTGAGTAGGGAAGAAGACGCTGTGTAGCGCTGCCATAATCCGGCATGCCTGCCGAGTCTTCCTTCAGAAAGATACGCAGTGTGCTAGTGATGCATATAGTGCCCTTTATAGTGCTAGGGTGACGCGGCGCGCACAGGTCACTGGATTTGTCATCAGCCAATGAAATCGCCGTGGTTGTACATGTGCTTCAGACAGTCGTCACACCTGAGGTGTTCCCCATAGCATCAGCTCCTGACGCAATGTCTCGTTCTCTACACAGGGTTCAAGGGTTACAGAAGTAACCAAGACGTTTTAAGTTAAGTTACTTTACCCTCACTGCTGAGATTGATTTTCTTTTATGGATTGCTGCTTAATGCTAAAACCCTCAACTTGGTTTACTAACTGGATTGCAAATGTTTGGTGAGGAGTGGATTGCTCCACTGACTAGTGTTGGTTGGTTCTTTCAGGGACTATAAGGTCACGAACACAGGACTGAAGACAAACTCAGCTGTTGATTTATATGTAGAACAAAATTAGCAGTTATTGTTTGATGCTTTGTTTGTTTCAAATGCACCATAAAATAACACTATCAGGATGTAAATGCCAGATGTAAAAGGGTAAAGATGTAACATTTCTAAAGAGAAAACCAAATCACTGCAGATAGTGGGAATAAACAACGCCCAAATTCTGTTTAATTGGGATGACTAAGACTAACTTTTCTTTTGCAGTTTTTCCGTAGCGCTTACCGGAAAAAAGGATTTTTCAAATCCAGTGTGTTCCCAGATTTAAATCCAGACTGATCGACCACAGCAGTGATGTGAATGTCATAGCTTTGTCTATAAGAGAAGACGTTTGCAGTTATACACCACCAATCTGTATATAGTCAAGTAGTGGACGTTCCTGTCTCTAAAGGTTTAGACATTAACATATCAAATTAGTATGTAAACAAATACAAAAGGGGGGATTACTTTGAAGATGCTAAAATTTAAAAAAATTGTGATGTAACATTTTCCCCCTATATAATTCCCATCCCCAATTCTATTCTATATATATGAAAGGGGCTCTAGTCATATAACAAGGTTAGTCGTACCTCCTGTTGGCTATTAGAAGAACTTGTCCAGATAATGTCTGTCCCATTTTGGCAAACAGGGGGGTTTGCAGGAGACAGCGCACCTGATACCAGTGAGTCAAAGGTTCATTCGGAGCAGTGGACAGCCATACTGTCATTCTGTACAAAAAGAGAAAATAACACAATTATTACTACTTTCAAGCATGTCATCCTCAGAAACCTTTCCTCTCGTATTATAGATTCTCACCTTGAACCAACAAAGGCCACATCGAACCAAAAAGCAAGTCCATGAATGAGCCCTGACTGCAGCAGTTTGAAGACAAACGGGATTTCCAACCTGTAAATCACATAAGCTACAAATATTGAGACGATGCTCTAGGTTTTCATGATTTGCTGAAACATTCTTTTTCAAGTGCATCCTTTATGTTTTTTTAACAGATTGTCCCTAAATTTGCACAAATCATCTCAAAAGCATGCTGGTGGGAAATGATTGCGAGACACCAAACTGTTCTCCAGTCAGATGGCAAGGCTGTATCCTTGTGTTGACTTTATTATTGGCATAATTCTCTAAGCATACAAGACCAGTTTAGTGACGCCATGAGTTTGTCTAACCTGAAATCAACCACCTCTCTCCAGAAAAAGCATATTTCCTAGAACAGTTACCAAACTGAGGTGGCACTTTTATCTATTGTCATGAAAGGTTGCACTTATCATTGGCACATTGCCCTGAAAATGCCACATACATTTCACAGTGACGCACACTGACTTCAAATTAAAACCTGATAAGTCAAATGTGTGCATGCTTTCAATTTTACCGATGTAAATCTTCCTCTTTTGCCTCCAGAAAGTTGATTGTGTATTTCACAGACCTGGCCATGAGAATCTGCACATCAAATGTGTCCTGAAACATAATGACAACATTATGAAGTAATCCGAGATCCAGATTCATGACAGCTTTACATCTGGATATATGTGGCAAACATGGACTCACGACTATCGGCTGTCTGAAGAACTCATCCAGCGCAGAAGAATGAAGGCCGCTCAAGTTCACGCCATAGAAACCCCTCTGATTCCTGATATAAAATCAAATTACAGTTGATTATGTGTACAGTGAACAGTGATTTCTGATTCATGTACAGTCAGATCTCAAAATCATATTTATCGCCGTTTGTGTCAGTAAATCAAACCAGTGACTAAATAGTCAACTTCATTTAGTTCTTTTACTAGGATGAAAATAATCTTATTTAAACTGATTAAATTGTATATAGAAAGCTCCCTTTAAAATCGCTGGAGCTGTCAATCAAACAGCGGCAGTTTATCAGTGAATGAGATCTGGACTCTCGCCACAACTCCTGTCATAATCAATGACGCTGTCTACACTGCACTATGAATCTCTTACTGTATTTGCAGCGTGGTTTGCTCTGTTAGTTATGGTAAAAGCATTCGTGAGAGTGCAGAAATCGAGTTGTAATGATGAGATCACTGCGTTCATGCGCTCAGCATGTCTGTGATCACTGCAACCTTTCATGCCACGATCTAAATATAACGCTATAAATCAACACTTTTCATGATTAGTTAACCGTTAGTCGACTAGAAGAGGTTTAGTCGACCAAAATTGTATTAGTCGTTAAGTCGCAGAACAAAAAAAAAAACTAGAAAAAGTGGAGAAATCACGCAGGCTGTAACGGACAGATCGTTAACGGCAGGAAATCCAAACATTCGCCCATCATTTATCGACCTCAAATATGGCTTATCACTGGAAACATGCAAGTAGCAGCACTTTATATGTGCGCTCGCTCTAATGCTCACCTAGACAAATATGCGTTATTATTAGGCATATACAGGCGGAAGTACATCACTTGCATTTAACTTAAAACTCTCTCTCATTGTTGGTCATACAGATAAGAGTAATGCAAACTGTAAAGGGTCAACTTTTATTTTTGTAAACTCACAAAACGTGGTGTTTTTGTAAAATAATGGCGCTTTCTGTTGATTGGGTCTTGAACTTGAGCGTAAATGAACCGGAACTAAGCGTATACTTGCCTCACAGACATGAGAAATACATCAATAGAAAGCTTGACATTTTTACATTTGAATGAACATAAATATTCTCAGATTATGTCAAATCTGTATGAAACGTGCATATAGGAAACGTGCATATATGAAAACATTACCTATAAATGACTCCATTTTTAGACAGTCTCATTCTGGGTTTTTTTCACAACACATTCATAATCATTACGTTTTCCGGTGCGCTGTGGCAAGCTTTATGTTTGAATTTGTGCGCTGATTACACTATACGTTTTTTTATATAGACAATTAAAGGCACATTATTATGATTTATGGCTTATTAATATAAATGCGCGATTAGTTGACTAATGGCTTAAATGAACTACTAGTCGACTAGAAAAATCTTTAGTTGAGTGCAGCCCAAGTAAAAACGTGCTAAAAGTTTTCGAGAGGGTTCCACATGTCTAGCTATTTAATAAGCAATTTGAATATTTGATCAAATTTTTATATTTAAAATGCATGTTAGCCAATCACAGCAGTGGGCATGTACACTGAAGTCTCACAGAGACACGCCCCTTCAAACAGAGCGTTCAAATCAGATTATTTCTAATTTATGACAATTTTTAGATGTAAAAATCCCACTAACATTAAAAGTGCACCACAGGAAACATTTTAAAATAATAAAACAATGCAGTTCATGACCCTTTAAAGCCCTTCAGATGAACATTTCAGCACGCACCCACTGCAAAGCACGAGACAAATCTCTGCTCTAACATAACATTAGGTGTTAAACTTGACATGACACTTGGTTATATAATATCATCTATAAAATCTCCAGTGTGAGACAATGATTTCATTGTCTGAAGTATGCCACTACTCCGTCCGTCTGGTTTAATAGCACAGGCGGAGAGAAGGGAACGATGAAACATGAGTCAGGGTTGGACTGAACCACAGCGTTTTACAGCGCCGGGAAGCTGCTGGCTTCGGGTCGGTCACGGCACGGTGCAAGAACTGTGTGGGCGGTGGGGCGATGCTAGCAAACCACAACCCCCTGTGGGCCAATGCTAAATAAACCATCATGGATGAGGCTGTGAACATGCAGGGTGTGCATGTAGGGGTGAGAGTGGTTGGCTCATGTATACTGTTAAAGAAAAGTTATAGATTCTAAGTTTTCTCAACACCATTAGTGTAATAATGTCTGTCCACAGACAATAATTTTGGTTCATCAAATGTCTACAGTAATACAGTACATGCGCAATGGAGCAAAACAGGGATTGAAGGAGGGATTAAATGCATACTTTTGTTAAAACACTTTCAAATAGGAATGAATTATTCAGAACTGTTAACTTTGGAGCTGTAAAGTCAAAATCATTATGTTTATCATATGTTTGAGGTAGTGCTGAACTTATGGTTATGCGTTATCAACATTTGACCCTCAACTAAGCCCTAAACCAATCGTACTTGAGCCAGTTTGACTTCTTTTCTGAAAGAAGTCTCTTATGCTCATCAAGACTGCATTTATTTGATCACAAATAGTGGAAAAACAGTGATTTTGTGAAATACTACAAATAACTATAATCATGCTAATCTGCCTTCTGAGATACAGATATAGTGGGTGGAGCTGCTTTGTGTAAATAATCTCTTTCTGGTATCCTTGCACGTGTTATGTTAAGGTTTACTATTGAAACGGATCTGGCTGGCCCGGTTCTCAACTCACTGACTGATCCATGAAGTGAATAAAACATTACATTTCGGTTTCTCAAACAGAGCAATAACATGGCCTCAGATGACGTGGAATATAGTGCATTAGCCGTATGAACTTTTTCATAGTCCCCATTCATTGTATTTGCATGAGAAACAGTGAAGAGCAGTTTTCAGAATTTCTCATTTATTGTTGTACAGAAGACATGAGGTTATACAGGTTTGCAATGTCATGAGGGTGAGTGAGGGGAGACTGGGATGGGAGTAATGAAACTAACCCCTAACACTATGCCTACCCCACACGCTCACTCACGGGCAGCTTTCTCCCTTTCGGCTTGCCCATTACTCGGACCTGCAGATACACACACTTGAGTAAGGGTGCTTTCACACTTGGTTCAAACGCCCAAACCGGTGGATTGTGTTCTCATTATACTAATTGTGTCCAAACCATGGTGCGTTTGCATCACAACAGTAGTCTAGCTGTTGTTTGTTAATGTCGATGCAGGAGAAGGTGGCAAAATGCATAGTGTCGCTCACCACACTTTTACTTTGGTTTTTGAAACTTTGGTTTTGTTTTCAAAGCATCAGCACATAAAGTTTTACCGATTTGTGCTGAAGGCGAGCAGAAATGAGATATAACTTCTCTGTGCTTGCAGTGCGTCAGTCACGCTGGTCTGTAAAGTATGGAAGCTTGTTTCCGCCCAGCGGCGGCGCCAGGGGGGGTCTTGGGGGGTCTCAAGACCCTCCCAAAAAATGCTTTGACCCCCCATTTGACCCCCCACCCCCTTCCTGATTAAAAAAAAAATGTATCCGGGATAAATATATTTTAAAATGTTTATCTTCAAACTACGCAGAACATACAATAATAATTAATAATTTATTCGACATACAAAATATATAAACATAAGAATCACGTTCCCTCTAAGCGGCGCGCGTGCGGGGTCGTGCACTTCTGATGCCGCGGCCGCGCAGAAAAGAATAATATGCCACGCAGAGGACTGACGCGAAATGTGTGGGGAAATCCATTTGATTGTATGTGAGAAATAATTGCAGTGCTCAAACTGGTGAGTGCAGTTAACAGGTTTCAAAGAAAGAGAATGATGTGAGCGCGTGTGATTGGCAGTGAGTCGTGTGTGCGGACCAAATATCTCAATATTAGATGCGACGAGAAACGCAAAGACATGTGAAATAAAATCACAATATCATGTTTTAAAGAAGAGTGGTTTGATTAAAGTGGTGGAAATAACGGATGATGGACACAGAACGGTAACAATTACACACCCACCCGCGTGCAAACTCAAAATACATCATTAGTTTACATAGATTTAAATAGTTTCAGGCAGTGTTGGGGGTAACGAGTTACAAAGTAACGGATTACAGTAACGATATTACTTTTTTGGGTAACGAAGTAAAGTAACGCATTACACTAAAAATATCGGTAACTACACTACTTTACTATACTATAGGAACGCGCTTTCCTGCGTTACCCAAGCCGTGTTTGCTTGTGTGTAAAGTTCTGTCTAGTGGTGCGTGCGCACCGTTGCCATAGAGATCAATTTGAGTGACATAGCTGCCGGTGCGAAGGAGAGAGGGAAATGGAGACGGAGACGGAGACAGGGGGTCTCTGCAGCGCGAGTCTCCGCTGACTGCACGCGCACCTCCCCAAACGGACGAGGCGTTTATACTCGACGCGCTCGCCATTGTACTATTCTGTGAAACGACGGGGCGACTCGAGTAATTGTCCTCTTAACCATCAGGAATCAACGGTGAGAAGAAGAAAGGTCCACACGTGACGATGTTTATTTTAGTAGGCTACATCACCACCAATAACACTACAAAAAGAATCGTGTACGTAAAATCCAGTAAACCCTGAGATTATTACTTGTGACATTAGAACAAAATGTGGATATAAAAACATGTATGTAGACTATAGAACTAAATCAACGATCTCTTAAATAGTTTCTAATTTCACTAAACATTTCATTAAGTTTCGTGGACATTTTATAAAACATGGATATTTCTATTAAAAATGCTTATTATGCTATTGTAGGCTCATTTTGTAAACATAAGCAACTGATTTAGACACGCAAACTGTGTGCCGGTGCGGTCACGGTGAGACGTAGGCTACATGCTCGGGCAGATTCGGCTTCTTGAAGTCGTTCATCCTCGGATTCGGCGCCGCGCGCGCTGTTACAAAAACTCTTCTCAAGTCTTGGAGCACAGCAGGTAACACAAAACAAAATGAACAGGCTTGTTGCAGGGTTCATTGTAGAGGAATGCTTCCCCTGCCGACTATTGAATCGCCAAGAAAAATGCATTTTAAATTAAGATTAAAAATGTAAAAGTGACCTTTATTTTATTATTTTTCATTGACCACTTCATTTTTTTTTTTTATTGCCATGAGTCGAATAAAAAGCTTGTTTTGTTCTCAGGAGAAGAGTTTATTCTCATGTTTCCCAAAGCCTGTGTTTTAAAACTTGTGTGTTGACCCCATTTTAAAATGACCGCACCATAGCCTCCTTTATCCTGTTGTTTGTGGATTTTACAGTGAGATATATTTCCTTGTGCAGACAGGGATATTGTTCTTTCATATGGTTTTACATGCCATTTTGTATATATTTATACAATAAACACTATGTAGACAGGCTAAGTGATGATAGGGCTATGATATTTGTCCATAAATTAAGAAACGGGAAAGTAAAGTAATAAGTAGTGAAGTTACTTTTCAAACGCAGTAACTAGTAAAGTAATCTCATTACAATTTACAGAAGTAACTAGTAACTAGTAACTAATTACCTTTTTTGAGTAACTACCCCAACACTGGTTTCAGGCATGGTTAGATTAGGCTACTATAAAAGAGTTCACATATTCACTTTTCTTGAAAATATTTAGCTATTAGATCTAGCTATTTACAGTAAATGCTTCAGTTTGTTTTCATATTATAATAATATAATATGAAAACAAATTGAAGCATTTAAACTGATATATTATATCACTTCAAATACTTCAATTAATTTTTTTTATATTATATTATATTATATTTTATATATTTTATTATATATTTATATATTTTATTGTATTATAAGCCTAAATAAAGAATCTCAAAAGGGTATTGTTTAGGGCTCATTGCCATTAAAAAGTTTGAAACCCCCATCTAAAGAAAATATAGGCTAGGAGATTCATAAGCTATAAACAATCATTTAACTTTGATGGTTTAATGCTGCCTGTACAATTAATTGACTGTACAAAAACACTTTATGGTTTTCCTAAACCATCTCAGTGTAACAGCTTAATTTTCTTTCATAATATATTATATTATTGTAAAGAATTGAACTGTCCTGCAGAAGATTTTGTAAATAATTTTTCATAGGATTTCTTAGTAAAGACTGGAAACAGAGGACACCGAGGAATTGGAGGATGAGGAGGATACTATTTTGTAAATATGTTTTCTGTCATGGGTGTGGCTATGGCAATGAAAGTTTGAGCATATTGTTTGCAAACTGCAATTGATTGATTAAAAACAAAGTAGTTGATATGCTGTGTTGTTTTTGTTGTTAAGTAGCAGCAATATGCAGTTATTAGCCGTGTCCACTGTATTTTTTGTTGGTTTTCATGAGACCCCCCTTGAAATGACCAGGACCCCCCATTGCCCCCCCAATCAAAATTGTCTGGAGCCGCCACTGTTTCCGCCACTGAATAAAAAAAATGTAAAAAAAAATTGCGACTTTTTATCTCACAATTGCGAGATATAAAGTCGCAATTCTGAGAAATAAAGTCGCAATTGCGAGAAAAAAAGACAGAATTGCGACTTTTTATCTCACAATTCTGACTTTTTTTCTCACAATTGCGAGTTTACATCTCGCAATTCTGACATCTTTTCTCAGAATTGTGAGATATAAACTCACAATTGCGAGTTATCAGGCCAATTCTAAGGGGGAAAAAAGACTAACTTTTTTCCTCTCAGAATAGTTTATATCTCACAATTCTGACTTTACAACACGCAATTTCGACTTTATATCACGCAATTCTGACTTTATATCAATCAATTCAGACTTTATATCTCGTAATTCTGACTTTATATCACGCAATTCTGACTTTATATCACGCAATTCTGACTTTATATCTTATATCTTATATATGAGATGTAAACTCGCAATTCTGAGAAATAAAGTCAGAATTGTGAGATAAAAAGTCGCAATTACCTTTTTTATTTTTCATTCTGTGGCGGAAACAAGCTTCCACAGTAAAGTGAGTGAGACGCACACAAACACAGTTTTATTGAATCATGCGCCATCAATAGCGGTTCACTTCTGCGATTGAGTACGATTGCCTTCATATCAGCAGTGAACCGTACTGGAGTTCACATGAACCGTAGTGCCGTACCGCCACCGTTTTTACGTGGACTCGGGTACGGTTCACGGGTGCGTTCACATCATCCAAACGAACCGAAAAGCGCTAGTGTAGCAACCCAGGGTGTGTTCACACTTGTGGTTCAGTTCGCTTGGTTCGTTTGTTCTGGAAAAAAATAACATTTAGTTGTCCGCTTAGCGTTCACATTGGCATTTTAACACCGAACCTAAAGGCATTGGAATATGTTCACAACCGGATTGGTTAGCTTTTATGACGTATATTTTGAGACGGAACTTGCCGAACATCTAAAACAATGCTGTGTTCTGGGCTAAATGCGCTCGTTGTATGTGCTTATCCGATATATGAAGGGATTTTGAGCAGCTGAGAACTCGTGAAGAGCTTATAAAGTGTGTAAAGGAGTCGAAACAGCGTGAGGAATCCCTCCGTCACACACAGGAGGATCTGCGGCGGGCGGATGCGGTGCTGACGCTGCACTGAACTGTGATGCGCAACATCCAGACTGCTGACGTGCTTCAATTGGGAGTATTTTAAATTCGCAATTTAAATTTGCGGGTAACAATTTGAAGGGTTATGGAAACGCGGCTTATGACGAGAAAAAACATTTTGTGCTTTTTAAGGTCGCATCATGTCCTGGTTTTGGTTCGTTTAGATGTCTTTGGACCGCGTTGCGTTCATATATCAGTTGAACCGCACTAAAGCTAGTTTCTAAGCGGAGTGAGACACATCTTTTCAGCGTCTCGGTCCGGTTGTTCAGACGGCAGCGTTCACACTAAGGGTGTAATCACACCAGGAAAGTTCGATAGTTCACTTGCTTTGGTCCGGACCAAATAATTTTTTTTGTTTTGTTTTTTGTACGGTTCGCTTTCACACTGCTCTTTTTGCAAGTGAACCAAAATTTGTAAACAAAACCACACGTGTGCTAAGGTCGTCCATTCATTGGACAAGGATTCTCAAGTAGGGAAATCAGGAAGTGCAAAAAAGGCTTAACGTAAATTAACGCAGCATCATCCTTGTATTGTGACTATCGTTACATTATATGAACTGCAAATGCTTTTCAAATGCTATGCGCGATTAGACTAAAGCAGTGGTCTCAAACTCGCGGCCCGCGGGCCTTTGTGGCCCCCTACTTGACATTAAAGTTGAATGTTAGTGCGGCCCGTCGTTGCGTGTGCCGCATTTAAAAAAAAAAAAAAAATGTTTCTCTTATGGGCTACCATAGATAGTCTCGTGACAGCTTACGGTGGGTTTGTTGTCAATAGTTGTCATAGACAACCGCGAAGTACAAACATACTGCGCCTGGGAAAAATAAGCGCGTCGCTTCAATTATGAGCGCGCTTGCCGCGCGCCTACATTTGAAATAACGAACTTTAGCGCGCAAAATATGTGAGCGCGATATGTGAACGGCCCCTTGGCGAGCTAACACCAATCAGGCCAGAGCTACTGGTAGCTCGCGAGCGACGTGTTGGAGACCCCTGCTCTAAAACAATGTGAGAATAATAATTTTGAGCTTGTAATATGTGTCCAACAGGTTGATAAGAAGGTTTGCTTTGATTTGTGCAGTCAGTAATTTGAGACACTATACATGTGTAGAAAGAATTCAATAAGACGGGCAGACATGACTGCAAATATTTGTATTTCAAAAGCAATAATTGTTTTTCTAAGTATAATAAAAGGAAATGTGCCTTCCAAAAAAAACATTCAATATCATTAATGTGTTGTATAAAGAAAATTAAAAGGACATAAGCAAATATAAATATCACAAATATGTGTTATAGACAAAGAAAGTTTGTAAAATGAACTTCAACTGTCAGAAGGACAGCTCATGAAGAACCAATCATGTACAGAAAGGAATGTTCGAATTCAGAGGAACAGTTCAGAAGAAACGTTAATAATAAGTATTGAGAAGATTGGATCAGTTGTGCTCCTTTTTTGGAATACTTGAATACTATTTTTTGTGGAATACTTGATGCGGCCCAGCCTGACCCCGACTCTACCTCCAGCGGCCCCCAGTTAAGTTGAGTTTGAGACCCCTGGACTAAAGAGAACGCTCTGTGTGTGAATGTCCTGATGCACACACTCATTAATTCATTCCATTCCAATGATGCACACACGACGCGCAGAAAGACGCGCAACAGATGTAATGTAGTAACGTTAGGCTACAACAGATCACTTTCCCATAACGCAACTCCGACTACGGAAGCCTGTTAACTCAAAGGCGCAGTGCTTTCTTGCAATTGGGTCGGTTGCTTGGAACCGTACCGAGACCACCTCTTCAGCTGGGTCTCGGTTCGGTTGTTTGGTCCGCACCCGAGTTCGATTGCTGTATTCACACCTGCCCAAAAGGTCCGCACCAAGGGGGGAAACGAACTAGAGTTCGATTCAATCGAACCAAACAAGGCAGGTGTGAATACACCCTTATTCAAATGATCCGCACTAACAGAGCAATCGCACCAGAGTTCGCTTTAATCCAACCAAACATGCCAGGTGTGAACACATCCTAAATGATGACCGGATTTTCCTTTTCTCTGTGAACTACTGCATTACGAGACCGGTAGTTCTCTTCAGCCAATGCACAGGGAAGAAAACTGAAGAAAAAGCCCTTCAAAAACACATCTCCTAAGTCCCAGATGATGTCCCACTATAAGTGTAAATTGCAGGTGGATTGTAAAGAAAGCAGAGAGGGCATTACCAGAAGTTGGTGCGGGCATGATGCTCCATGTACAGTTGTTCGTCAGTGAACGGAGCCAGGTGAATGTCACTCTGCGTGGGGAACATCATACCTGGACAGTCAAAGAAGAAGATTAAAGCTCAACCAAAAAGGAGAAACTTTACTTTTCCCTATTCAGTCCCTTCCCAATTAATACAATTAGCCATTATTCTTTGTGGTTTACATTTGCTGCATAGCAAGTGCATTTTTGGTGTGTCATCTAGACATGTCCTGAGACTCTCATGTTGACTGAGTACAATGACACCAACAGAAAAACACAATATAGCATTGACGAGCACTTGATCTTCAATAACCCATCACATTTGAACACTATATGAATTAGCATGTGGTGGCGTTTATTGTGGCACTTGTTATTCGCGATGTACAGACCTTTGGGTTTTAACCAGTATTTGGCGTGCAGAAAGCTCTCCAGCATCCTCTCGTTGAGGAGCATGTAGCCGATGGGCTCCGAGATGATCACGTCCACCTTCTCCGGGCAGGACACTTCCTCGATCTTTCCTGACAGAACCGTGATTTTGTCAGACAAGCTATTGCTTTTCACTAGAATCTGAAGAGACGAGAAGGACAAAACAGCTCAAGCTCCGTCCGCATCTTTCCCACATGCTGTCAGTTCGCTCAGAAAATACTGCGACTCGTTCCTCAGTTTGTGAAAACACACAAAAATCTCTTCTAGTGATGCACTTATAATGGAATACTATTCCTTGCACAATAATAAACGTTAAAATACACACTATTTTAACCACAAGATTGTGTTAAATGATCGCTAGTAGCTGTCCGTTACTAAGATATATGCGTTTTTGCATTTCGTTTTTTAATGTCATGTTAATTGCAATGTTAAACTAAAATATCCTTTGATGTAATTAAAACTTGAATGTCATGTATTTAAATATATTTGTAATTACATATTTGTAATGATGTTGCAATTTAGTACATTTTAACTATATTGACTTTAAAGACACCATGAAATTATAATGGACAATTCTTTTTTTAAATGGAATATTGCAGTATTTATTATAAATGATTTTATCCGGGCACATAATTTTTTATAAATTCAAGTGCCTCATAATCTTGTCAATCAAATCTTAATCTTAATCTTGAATTAACTTCCCAATATCTTCTCTTCTCTGATGATGAGGGTGGGGAAATAACCTGTCAATCACATGAGATCCACCAATCGCAAGCCACAATTATCCAATCACTTCCTCATGGACAAAATCAAGCCCCGCCAGAGACTATTTATATAGAGACATGCCACTTCATCAATCCTTAATACAACTATATAGGGAAAACCCGTAACGCCAAAGATGGCGGTTGTATGCACTTGTCCCGCCCCTCCCGCTGGAAAGCCAATCGTCTGCTTTAACAGTCAAGCTGGGAAACATTTAAGCCTATCGTCTGGTTCCACCGACGCATGCGCACAGTTGAGGTTTGCGACAGTGCAAAATACGTTACGGTACTGTTTGAAAAGGCGGCAGATTTGATATGCAGTGTATGTGTGAGTTGTGTAATATCAGACATCAGAAGTCTCCCACAGATTGATAGCGGCTCCCTGATGCCGACAAATTAGTTCAAATCTCCCGGAATCTAGAGCGAGCGAGCAAGAGCGCGCACATACTGTGCTTCAAACTGTGTAGCGCGCGCACGACAGAGGGAGAGAACCCTTGCGCATGCGTAGTAAACGTATAACCTGTGGGGAAAAGGCGTTTTAAACCTTATTTTGGGGCAAAGTCATCAAACTTTTTCAGCGATTTTTATCATATTTTACTGCTGTTTCTATACATGCAGTTTTTATGTCCCGGTGACCAGTGACACTGCAGTTCTGACTCTCTGCCCATTCATTTAGATAGGAGCCTGGTCTTGTTAGTCCGAAATAGCTGCCCGGAGGCGTTGCCAAGATGGCGGCCGAGTGGCATGACTTGCCTAAAAGGACTTTGGCCCCGCCCACATTTGATCTTGTTCCAGAAGCGTTTCACTTAGATATACGGCACAATAGGGATGAAAAGACTATTGCAACTTCCGTTTATGCTGACTTTAAACTTAAAATGGACTTTAAATGGAAAATTCCTTACACTTTAAGCATTGAGGCAAGTTAAAATATGGGTTTGATTATCACCCTTGCAAAATAACACAAAAATTCACTTTTCTAAACAACGGAAACCATTTCGAGATTAAGAGTTAAAGGCTCTGTTTTATAGTTGGATCATTGGTTGCATAAATCAGATGTGTCAGTAGAAACACAAACACATATGTTTGCAGTCTACAAAAACTAACAAGACCTTTCCATTAAATGAGAAAAAGTGAGCTATTAGTACTGAGCTTGTCTGTTAAGAAAGCAGTCTTTATCCATGAAAACATGTGTCCTTTCCCACTATGCAAGTTTCCGGGCCAAATCCGTCTTCAAGTCATTTAGCAGCCAGAATGTCACGCATTCCTGACACGCAGGAAAGATCCTTCTGAAGGTGTTGCCCTGTGAAAATGTGCCAGAAAAGTCGGCTCGGCCTGGGTATTTTTCCACAAAACCCATAGCCCCGAACTTCAGGCCAAAGGGGTGTGACAAACATAGATAGTGATAAGTGATTTATCCTCCTAGCACATCCAACAGTTGGCCAAGAAATACATATGCCCTCACGACGCCCTGAAAGCTCTTTGTAATAGATTGACTAGTGGAAATATATGATTAGCTTTTCTTGCCACACCGTACGAAAAAAAAAAAAAATCCATAGACAAACAGAAAGTTACTGGTAATTTTCTCCCAGGACATTTTCTGTCAAGTTTATGGATATTTCCTTCAACCCTAAAGCACAACACAATGCAATTAAAAACTGATCAGATTTCCCAATGTTATGATTAAGTGGTTCATTCACCCATAAAAATGAAAGTTTGTCTTGATTTACTGTATGATAAGCCACATGATTTAGCTCATTCTTACAATAAAGTCCATGGAAATGGATGCTGTAAGAAAGGACATTAAAGTATCACAGAAGTATCCGTGTGCTATGATCCAAGTCTGAAGGCTTACAACTGTGAGGAACACAAGCCCAAACCTAAAACTTCCCTTTCAGAAAAACACTCATATCTCATTTGCATTGTGTATATTCAAATCAAGACCAGTTACATATTAATGTTGTCAAATGCCATTGTTTGGTGCGTCTCATAGCCAACATTTGAATATGCAGAAGTGAGAATGAAATATGAGAGCTACGGTGTAAGAAAAGAATCACATTTCAGCCTGTTCCTCACACAAAGATATCATGTGCCCGAAGAAGACCTGCGATACAGTGCATGTGTCACAGACTTCTCAGACATGTGAACTGCAGTGTGCAATTTCTGCTGAACATGCAAAGCATCTTTTGTGCTCCAGAAATGAGTGTGGAGGGTAAATCAGAAATAGTTTGCTATACTTCTGCATATTTGGCCACAGAGCTGGCCTCCACCGCGTAAACTCTCTTCGCCCCGGCCTGGACGGCGAAGAAGGACAATATCCCCGTCCCACAGCCCACATCGAGAACCACCTATAAACAGAAGCAGTGCACACCATCAGAATACGAAAACTTATTATCAACACAGTACAATAACTGTATACTAAGACTTTTACTTTAAAAAATCTCAACGGTGCACTCAGTAAATTGTATTTGAATTAATTGTATTATTTTTAATCAGTATGTGTGTTGGAATCAAACCGTGACATCGTGTTGCTACTGTAGAAATAAGGACATTTCCATATATAAATAGGGTGTTTCTACGAAGAAATCAGTTCAACACCTTGCTTGTGTGATGCTGTATCTGGTAACAGGTAGGCCCGGGTGATATGACAATATCAGAGCAACTATATAAGTGTCTTTCGACAAAGATTTTGCTATATCGTTTATATCGCGGTGTGTAAATGAATCCACGCAGAGTACCATTTAAAGTTACTGATCGATAAAGAAATGAATCGCAATAATTCAGTATAGTAACTCCATGGGCTAATCGAGTGCTGTCCGACACATGGCCATGGACACAGAAAGCTGTGAGTACTTTATTTAGTTATTTTTCGCAGGTTAATATTGAATTTAAATGGACTTGAATGGTCAAATACACACAAGTATGTCAAAACAGTATCTGTTGTGGAGAGTACGCATGTGAACATAGTTGGTTATATCTTAAGGGTGTGTTCACATCACACTTGTAATTCGGTTCACTTGTTTGGTACACTCAGGCCCGGTTTCACAGACAGGGCTTAGATTAAGCCAGGATTAGTGTTAAGTAGGTTTCTGGACTGTATTGACTGGTGCATCGTAAGAATGCACAAAAGTCCAATCCATGTTGTTTTAATAGTAGGTTCAAGCCATCTGAATGCAGTGCATTAACAGATGTATGTGATATTAAGTGTGTGTTTTTTTCAAAGTTAGGCACACTCATCTACGGCTTGAATACACGCAAGCCCTCCACAGCTTTTACAAGTTGTCAAACTCTGGGGGCGGGACTAAGTTGCGACTGTCAATAATTAACAACCCACCAATAAGAATGAACTTACTGAGCCTTCTCAACAATTAGGCTTTAGTTCAGTTAGGACATTTAAGTAGCCTTTATAAACGTGCCTTAGAAAAACACATTGCATTTTGAGACACAACAATGGCAATATTTTAAGATATCTCAGTGCAAGCTGCTTTCAGTTAAAACAGCTCAAACATGCATTTTAGTGTGGGACTAGGCTTAAGCCTTGTCTGTGAAACCAGGGGGATAAGTACTGGTTCGCTTAGTGTTCCCACTGTAATTTCTAACACCAAACCTAAAGATACAAAACAAAAAACGGATTTTATGACGTATGTTTTGCGACTGAACTTACCAAACATCTAAACCAATGCTGTGTTCTGGGATAGATGTGCTTGTATGTGCGTAGCTACATATGATGGTATTTTGATCAGCTAAGAACTCGTGAAGAGCTTATAAAATGAGATAAGGAGTCAAAACAGCGGCAAGAATCACTCCTTTACATACAAACTAAGAACTTCTGCATGAAATGGAATAAACATTGCGACTACAATGAGAAAAACCCTGAATGTCCTGTTTTTGGTTCGTTTAGATGTCTTTGGACCGTGTTGTGTTCATATTTCAGTCGAACCGCAGCAGAGTTCGTTTGGAAGCGGAGTGAGACCCATCGTTTCAGGGGTCTAGATTAATGAATAATGTCTCAGGGTTTGGATGGCAGCGTTCACACTTTAAGGCACTTTCACACTGGGCACGTTTGCTTCGGTTCGAGCGCGATTGTTCCCAGTGCTCCCCCCCCCAGCATTGGTCTGGTTTCCGCATACGCAGGGTACTTTACCTAGTTGCTTTCACATTCACGTGACTCACGCCACAGTTTCAGAGTAACCGGGTCAACATGACGGCTTCCACATGATCAATTTTCTCATTTCAAACATTTTAATCGAACCAAACCAGCCAAGTGTGAACACACCCTAAGTGACTGTAAACGCAGGAGCCGTCTAATTTTCCTGCTGCTCATTATTGTTAATCAAACAGCAAAAGAAAGCGAGAAAATCTCTCACTGCTCTTGACTGAATAACTTTAGTAGCTTTAATAAGAATCAATGTATATGTTGTTTTTGTCCTAGTGTTTGTAATTTGCTTCTTGGTTATTTTTAATGACAAAAAAATAAAAACAATATTACACTATATTGTGATGTATATTATTACTGTGAAATAAAATGAATGAAAAAAGATTTTGGTCATCTTGTCAACCCCTAGTAACAGGTATCATCACAAAAACATTGCCATATTGGCCAACGAAGCATAAAGTAAAACAAATACTGAGTACAGCTTTAAAGACTAGCAGGATAAAGTTTGATGAAACTAGTTGACAACACATACTTTATCTTTGAAGTCGACTTCATTGAGCAAAATGGCTTTTTGGTACGTTGCGGTCCTGAGGTAATCCTGAAGCATGTTCTGCTGCTGGGACAGACAGCCATAAAACTGAGAGAAAACTGAAAATGTCTCAGAGAGGTAAATCATGTACACTGACCACACACAAGGCAACTGAATAAAGTTCGAGGTTTGCATGGGGGAATTGTCTGCTTTACCTGGAAGTACTGCAGTGCAGAGGATTCATCGGTCCTCTGCTGAAACACAGACGGGTCTGTCCTGAGGTCCGTCCACGAGCTCAGCAGTCTGTGGAAGCCCTGAAACTCTGAGCACAACACACGCCTTCACTAACATGTAATAACACAACCCAAGCAGTGATGGACTAGTTATTAACCTGATACATCAGTATTTCTCAGGCCTCTTAATGATCCACTTGATCAAAACTTTCTTGAAGTCGACTGACGCCTTTTTCACCTTTGTTGCCATTGGCTTTTGGCTTACATTACATTTAACATTTAATTTAATATTCAACAATGTTATTGATCTGCCTGCATTGACACTATTATACAAGAACTGAGCTGGACGATGACATCACAGTTTACTCCAGAGCGGCTATTTAATATACACTCACCTAAAGGATTATTAGGAACACCATACTAATACTGTGTTTGACCCCCTTTCGCCTTCAGAACTGCCTTAATTCTACGTGGCATTGATTCAACAAGGTGCTGAAAGCATTCTTTAGAAATGTTGGCCCATATTGATAGGATAGCATCTTGCAGTTGATGGAGATTTGTGGGATGCACATCCAGGGCACGAAGCTCCCGTTCCACCACATCTCAAAGATGCTCTATTGGGTTGAGATCTGGTGACTGTGGGGGCCATTTTAGTACAGTGAACTCATTGTCATGTTCAAGAAACCAATTTGAAATGATTCGAGCTTTGTGACATGGTGCATTATCCTGCTGGAAGTAGCCATCAGAGGATGGGTACATGGTGGCCATAAAGGGATGGACATGGTCAGAAACAATGCTCAGGTAGGTTGTGGCATTTAAACGATGCCCAATTGGCACTAAGGGGCCTAAAGTGTGCCAAGAAAACATCCCCCACACCATTACACCACCACCACCAGCCTGCACAGTGGTAACAAGGCATGATGGATCCATGTTCTCATTCTGTTTACGCCAGCGTTTCTCAAAGTGTGGGGCGCGCCCCACTAGTGTGGAATAGAAACATGAAGAGTGGGGCGCGACAAAGCGGAGTGGGGAGAAAATTTGGTAATTTTTTGTGCCCATCACGGCATCACTATTAATTCCTTTATTTATTGAGCATAAACTCAAAACAAAACAACGACACATTTAAATGTAAGCCTTACTTAACCTTTTCACACGTAAGTTTAAAAGCTTTTAGAGGCGCCCGTTATTTAGATCGTATCCCTTTATGGGTTCCATGGTGACGCGTCATTGCTTGTCACACCGCAGCCACAATAGCGCTAAATGACTGATTATCCGCTTTTATTTCACAAATGTGTTGGCTATAGCAGGAAATATCTGATATTCCGATTGTCAAATGTGAGCAAGTGGATGTGTTTTGTTGTTTAAACACCTTAGTTGAGCTATACCCGATCTCTATGTACGGGATGAAGAATCGGATCTGTTGGATTTAACAAACGTCAATTTATCCACTTCTCCCGAAATACATGAAAAGTAAGTGGCCGGTGAACTGGGAGAAGCATAGAGTACACTTGAAAGTTATTTACACGATGTGTATTTGATATAAATAATTTGTGTCGTCTAATTATAATGGAAATAATTATTATTGCCGCTTCCATAGACATAAGTGTGTATTTGACAAACTCTAAATGTATTGCTTTTTTAGTAACTTACTTATGTGAATTTAAATGTCTGAAACCTAAAATAAACATTATGTGGTTGAAAACACTGAATGTGATGTCAAGCAGTGAGCGCTCTCCGTCTCTGGCTCAGAAAATATGTGTAGCCTACTACAAAACAGGCTCATAAACTAAATTAGTTAATCACTTCATTTTGAACTTTCAAAATGCACCCGATTTATGAATTTATCTTTAAAACGTACAAACTTTTCTTCCAGGGAAGCATGCCCTGGACCCCCCTAGGGGTGCAGAGGTCCACACCACGCACAAAATACTGTGGGAAACACAGTAGCTTATATGATAGTCTTCGAAAAATACAAAATACAATTATTATTATAAAAATACCTAAAATATGTACATTATTAGGATTTTACCACCTCCGCCTCGTTTTGAGCCAGGAAAAACCCTAACATTTTGTTGGGGCGATTGCATGGGGACAGGTAGGGCACGAACCCTTCCCTATCTTCAAAGTGGGGAATGGCAGAAAAAGTTTGAGAAACACTGGTTTACGCCAAATTCTGACTCTACCATCTGAATGTCTCAACAGAAATCGAGGCTCATCAGACCAGGCAACATTTTTCCAGTCTTCAACTGTCCAATTTTGGTGAGCTCTTGCAAATTGTAGCCTCTTTTTCCTATTTGTAGTGGAAATGAGTGGTACCCGGTGGGGTCTTCTGCTGTTGTAGCCCATCCGCCTCAAGGTTGTGCGTGTTGTGGCTTCACAAATGCTTTGCTGCATACCTCGGTTGTAACGAGTGGTTATTTCAGTCAAAGTTGCTCTTCTATCAGCTTGAATCAGTCGGCCCATTCTCCTCTGACCTCTGGCATCAACAAGGCATTTTCGCCCACAGGACTGCCGCATACTGGATGTTTTTCCCTTTTCACACCATTCTTTGTAAACCCTAGAAATGGTTGTGTGTGAAAATCCCAGTAACTGAGCAGATTGTGAAATACTCAGACCGGCCCGTCTGGCACCAACAACCATGCCACGCTCAAAATTGCTTAAATCACCTTTCTTTCCCATTCTGACATTCAGTTTGGAGTTCAGGAGATTGTCTTGACCAGGACCACACCCCTAAATGCATTGAAGCAACTGCCATGTGATTGGTTGATTAGATAATTGCATTAATGAGAAATTGAACAGGTTTTCCTAATAATCCTTTAGGTGAGTGTATATATATTTATATATATATATATATATATATTCACAAACATACACATCCATATCCCCTTTATAAGTCTGTATATAAAACGTGATGTTGAGCGTCTCCGCGGGGTTTGCAATTTAGTGATATTTCTATCATGCTTGATTCAGTTAGCAAACGGATTTATCCCAAATCTCCTCCACGAGGCGTTAAACACAGATGTACAACAGATGTGCTGGAAAAGCTTAATGCTTCTCAGAGGAACAAGACCGAAAGATTCCATACTTTGATCTTGAATTAGTAATACTAGACAAATATTGAAGAAATAAGACTGAAAGCAATAAAGTATAATTCATGCTACGAGACTGGAACAGGTTTGATGACCTAAGTAACATTTGGCTTCTAAAGGGCATTAATGTTGCGCAACATCAATACATTTCTGTCACTTTTGGAAGACTCATCAGGCAAACGTCTGACTTAAACATGTGAGTTTGGAGGTAAAGACTAGGGGTGTAGCGATGCCCTCATGTCACGATTCAATACATATCACGATACTGAACTCACGTTACGATATTATTACGATACCAAGACATGATAAACGGTTAACATTAAATGTACGGTTGATTAAAATGCTAAATTTGGTGTTACATTGTGTGTGTAAATGAATAGGATGGACTTGGTGCTGAAACCCAAAGCACAGGACAATAGAGACACCAGAATAACAATATTCATGATTCTGGAGCTGAAAATACTGAATTATTTTAGACGAATATGCTTGTTCTCTGTCACTGGCTAGATATATTTAAAATAATGTCGGCCACTTTTACTGATAACAAGACATTTGGCATCATCAGGACACACAAATATTCCCCCATTGCATTATTATACATTATATTCAACATTATATATACAGTAGTAGTTTAATGTAGTACTGACACTAAAGCTAAAAAAAAATTCTCACACAGTAATTTTAACTTTGGGTGACCTATCCACAATACATATTGTTGCGTTTTTGTATTGCGATAATGTGACACGATATATTGTTACACCCCTAGTAAAGAGTGATGAAAGGAGAGATAACTGACCTGACTGAGAGTTGAAGCGCATGAGGATGCTGAAATAGCCCAGTGTGACGAGGAACGAGCGGCTGGCCACCCGACAACACTCGGTCTCCCTCGTGATCGAGAACTTAAAAACACAAACCCCAGCATCTGAAAGCAGAGCGATACACAGGGTATATGAATGAGGAATATGAATGCTGATGAAAAAACTGAAAGGATTACTTTTTAACACCCTTTAAACTTTTTAACTTTTTACACCCCGAAGTTAAAATTCTGTCATCAGTTTTACGCTCGTGTCATTCCCATATGACAGAAGGAGATGATGGCAAAATGTTCATGCAGCTGTTTTACATAAACTTAAAGTGGATGCTGGTGATTTACATTGTGCATGAATCAGTTCCATTCGGCATCATTCATGTCAAAGTTGCAGCAAGATTTTCAATGAATAAAAACTTAAATTGTTGTCAAGCTTCAAAGGATAGTTCACCTATTATTTACTCGCCCTCAAGCCATCCTACACAATCGGAATTATATTAAAACATATCCTGGCTCTTCCCAGCTTTATAATGGGAGTGAATTAAGTTTTTGAAGCCCAAAAAAGGTGTATATGACTTTCTTTTTTCAAATGAACACAATCAGAGTTATATTTTTAAAAATCCTGGCTCTTCCAAGCTTAATAATGGGAGTTTTTGAAGCCCAAAAAAGTGCATCCATCCATCATAAAAGTACCCATACGACTCCTGTGGGTTAATAAAGGCCGTCTGAAGCGAAGTGATGCGTCGAGTGCCAGGTCAGAGGTCACTCGTCGGGTCAGAGGTCACTCTTCCGCCGGAACTTGACCATTACCAAAAGCCAGTGATTATAGTTTATGAAGTTATAAATATGGATATTTTTCTTACAAAAACGCATGGCTTCACTTCAGACGGCCTTTATTAACCCACAGGAGTCGTATGGATTACTTTTATGATGGATGGATGCACTTTTTTGGGGCTTCAAAAACTCCCATTATAAAGCTTGGAAGAGCCAGGATATTTTTTAATATAACTCTGATTGTGTTCGTCTGAAAAAAAAAGTAATATACTCCTAGGATGACCTGAGGGTGAGTAAATCATGGGCTACTTTTCATTTTTGAGTGGATTAACCCTTTAACAGCCTGTGCTCACTGAATGCTTTTGATAAAGAAAAGCATGAACATTTTGCTAAACATCTCCTTCAGTGCAGAAGAAAGTAAGACACGTGTGTCAGCTAGAAGCTGGCATCAGAAATGTGTGTGTCCTGCTCTGTGAGGGAGATGTGATCCAGAGAGAAGCTGCTATCTGATGTTGTGTGTCGGGAGGCAGAAAGCGCAGGCGTGTGTACCAGGGCCAGTGTACCGTGTCCAAGAAAACAGAGTCCGGTGCAGGCGATCCGGAGCGGCTCATGGTGTGTGTGTGTGTGTGTGTGTGCACAGTAAATCCCAGAGATCTGTACATGCGGCAGGACCACACAATGAGACCCGGGAAATGTGTGGCACACCTGAATAAAGACTCTTCCCTTGTCCTTCAGCCAATAAACAAGACGCTACAAAGAGCCAGAAATTGTTTGGTATGACGTTATTTACAGTATAAATGCTTCCATGTGGTTCTTCACTTCCTTTACTCATCATATTTTTTAGACAGGAGCAGATAGGCCTACTGGGAAATTGGCATAACATGATCCTTGAAAACAAAAATTTGGAAAAAATACGGAAAAACAATTACTTGAAAAGAGCAAAGTGATGCACAATTGCGGATGAGATCTCCTTTATATATATTTTTCAGCAAATAGAATCAACCGAGTTCAAAATGAGAGTTAAAAAATGTATTGTCGTTAAAATAAGTGATTAATATTAATTAACATGTAGGCCTACTTGAAGGATATTGTTACATTGTAAATCCTCATGCCCCCCTCCAATGTTGTCTTGGTTTAAGGAGTTAATGCCCTGCCCCTTTCTACACCTGGAAAAAATGTAACACCCAATTAGAGACTCACTCATTTTATAAAAATTTTGTAACTGTAAAATATAAAATTTGTTGAGACAGTACCTTCATTGAGATTTAACACCCCCTCCCCCCTTTGTTTCCATTTTTCCCCTTAGTTTTTGTGGGATAATTTGGGATGGTTAGTTGTTGTTCTGGTTATTTGTATAATTTTTCTTCATTCATTTCTATGGATGTTAAAAAAAAAGAAAACACCAGGTTGTGATGTTTTCCATATGACATGCATATTTTGTCATATAAGAATCTGCCTAATAAAAACTACGGGTTACTATGGGTTAAGGGTTTGGTAGGGTTGCATGTAATTATGCAACATTTGTAGTTATTACTACAGTAACTACTACATGTAACGTGGAATAAGAACACTGTAAGATAAAGTGTTACAACAAAACTACTTCTGTAGTCTACTACATACATATGTCTAAGATATGTTATTAATGTGGATACCTCCAGGACATGGATTGGGAAGAATTTTATGATAAATAGGCTACTCGAGTTTATATTGAATTCTCTTTTGACTTTAATATCAGACTTTAGTACCTTACCTTCTGAAGCGCCGAGAACTTACATGTATTTCCTACAAAAATAACAGCCTTATTCATAATTACGAGCAGCTAACGCTAAACCAAACCTTTACCCTAATCCTAACCCTAGTTCATTACTATTGCTCAGCACTCAAATGTATAATTACACTGTAACACAGGCACCTTAAATTGAAGTGCTTTGTTTACCGTCATTAATGGTGAGAGAGACGTCATCGTCCAGCTGTCTGTGCGCGTGAAGCGTGAGTTCCTGATGTTGATCTCGCTTTACGTCGCTCTCGTTGAGAAAGATCACAGTCACAGAGAAACGGCTCTGTAACTGATTATCGCCCATGACTGAACCCAGGACTGGCGAAGCTCTTGTGTCCTTCTTGTACACGCATTTTGACAGAGAGGTTGTGAATAGGTTCAAATAAGAGGAGGGCCTAAAGCGGCCTTGACGTCAGAGGGCGGAGTTAAACTTCAAGATGAAAAATTACAGCCAGTGGAGTGACAAAAAAGTATATTTCTAAAACAAAAGCAACACCGTAAGCAACAGACAGGTGAGGTGAGTAAAATTAAACTATATATGTCTCATAAGTGATTCTGTTTATTACAAATCTGGAGTAGTGCAACTCTCATTTTCAGTTTCGTTTTCATAAATCTGATTATTTATGTTATGGTGAATGGGAGTAAAAGAAAAAGTCAGACTGAGGTTCACTGTTTCAAACATGTAAGTGTTCTTGCCTGAATGTGTTATATAGAGCGGAATGCTGATGGTTTGTTTGTTGATTTGCACCTGTAGGTGCACGTGTTGTGACATAACCTGTGCTCGTGTCATTTTAATATACTCACATAACCTGTGCTGGTGTCATGTTTTAATATACTCACATAACCTGTGCTCGCTCGTGTCATGTTTTAATATACTCACATAACCTGTGCTCGTGTCATGTTTTAATATACTCACATAACCTGTGCTTGTGTCATGTTTTAATATACTCACATAACCTGTGCTCGTGTCATGTTTTAATATACTCACATAACCTGTGCTGGTGTCATGTTTTAATATACTCACATAACCTGTGCTGGTGTCATGTTTTAATATACTCACATAACCTGTGCTCGTCCCATGTTTTAATATACTCACATAACCTGTGCTCGTGTCATGTTTTAATATACTCACATAACCTGTGCTGGTGTCATGTTTTAATATACTCACATAACCTGTGCTGGTGTCATGTTTTAATATACTCACATAACCTGTGCTCGTCCCATGTTTTAATATACTCACATAACCTGTGCTCGTGTCATGTTTTAATATACTCACATAACCTGTGCTCGTGTCATGTTTTAATATACTCACATAACCTGTGCTCGTGTCGTGTTTTAGTATACTCACATAACCTGTGCTCGTGCTGTGTTTTAGTATACTCACATAACCTGTGCTCGTGTCGTGTTTTAATATAATCACATAACCTGTGCTCGTGTCATGTTTTAATATACTCACATAACCTGTGCTGGTGTCATGTTTTAATATACTCACATAACCTGTGCTGGTGTCATGTTTTAATATACTCACATAACCTGTGCTCGTGTCATGTTTTAATATACTCACATAACCTGTGCTGGTGTCATGTTTTAATATACTCACATAACCTGTGCTCGTGTCATATTTTAATATACTCACATAACCTGTGCTGGTGTCATGTTTTAATATACTCACATAACCTGTGCTGGTGTCATGTTTTAATATACTCACATAACCTGTGCTCGTGTCATGTTTTAATATACTCACATAACCTGTGCTCGTGTCATGTTTTAATATACTCACATAACCTGTGCTGGTGTCATGTTTTAATATACTCACATAACCTGTGCTGGTGTCATGTTTTAATATACTCACATAACCTGTGCTTGTGTCATGTTTTAATATACTCACATAACCTGTGCTCGTGTCATGTTTTAATATACTCACATAACCTGTGCTCGTGTCATGTTTTAATATACTCACATAACCTGTGCTGGTGTCATGTTTTAATATACTCACATAACCTGTGCTGGTGTCATGTTTTAATATACTCACATAACCTGTGCTGGTGTCATGTTTTAATATACTCACATAACCTGTGCTCGTGTCATGTTTTAATATACTCACATAACCTGTGCTCGTGTCATGTTTTAATATACTCACATAACCTGTGCTCGTGTCATGTTTTAATATACTCACATAACCTGTGCTGGTGTCATGTTTTAATATACTCACATACAGAGCCGGCCGAGCCACTAAGCGACCGTTGCAATTGCAAAGGGCCCCGTGGCCAGCAGAGGGCCCCCTAGAGTCACTGCTAGCTAGTGGGAAAAAATAAATAAAAAATCGCACAACAAAAGTAACATAAAATAAATAAATAAAAAGAAATGGACCTACAGCGCTCTTTATCAGGCATCATGATAAGCACAGAGTTGTTATTTATTTAGTTCTGTATTATGGCAAATCAACCGGGAGCTCCCCGCGAAGGCGCGCGCGCATCTTGATCCCGACTGCCCCTATGATGTCACTCGTTGTCACTCGGTCAGTCAGTTAGCGACTCCGACGAATCGACGATGTCTGACAAGAAACGAAAATATCTTTCTGGCCAAGAAAAACGACAAAAAAACAGTCTGGAAGAAGAGAAGAAGCAAGAAGATAAAGGTACGTAAACCTGTAGGCTTAATTTTCCGATTTCTGTAATATGGATAATCTGCACTAAAAGTATTATATTAAAATTAGTCTAAATCGTGCTTGTATTAATTTTCTACAGTTGTTTAACTTACATGCTAATAACATGCTGCATAAAATTGGTTTAGTAATAGGCCTATACCATTTGCTGTGGTGTTACTGTTAAATCATTTAACAGAACAATATAAACCCAGTTTGGATTCTACACTAAAGGGCTAACATTAGTTTACTCCTTATGTCCCCTTCCCTTAGGAGCACTATTAAAGTAACGTTATATGCTGCCAGTAAGCAAAGCTCCAGCTGTTGGTGAGTATAAAGGGGCTGTAAAATGATAACCTTCTGCATTTTAAAAATTAAGTCTAACTTTATGTATAATTATTTTCTTTATTTGGATTGGATTTTAATAGTTATATTGAAATGTTACCTTATTCTTAATATTGTTACTATTGATCTTCTTTGTGGTGTTTTAGATGTTATTGTTAATTTTGTTTATTTGAAAATTCTGTTTATTATTTTATATAATATTATATTTAAATGTTATTCTATTTGGTCTATTTAATTTAAATTTTAAATATATATATATATATATATATATATATATATATATATGCTGTAGTTTGTGACTCTTAAACTCTGGTGTCAATAAAAATGTATCTTTGTTCAGTGAAAATCACTTTATATGTCTTTTTATTCAGCAAGTTAATCAGTGTGTGTGTGTGTCTTGCACTGCCATTCAGCTCAGTGGTATCATAATTTTCCTTTTAGACATCAAACATAGTATATACAGTATAATATAGTTATATAGTATGGTATAGTTATAAGGTAGTCATTGCTTTTCTTTAGGCCTTAAAACGGTCAAAGGGGCCTCCAACCAAATTTTGCTTAGGGCCCCCAAAGGTCTAGGGCCGGCTCTGCTCACATAACCTGTGCTCGTGTCGTGTTTTAATATACTCACATAACCTGTGCTCGTGTCATGTTTTAGTATACTCACATAACCTGTGCTGGTGTCATGTTTTAATATACTCACATAACCTGTGCTCGTGTCGTGTTTTAATATACTCACATAACCTGTGCTCGTGTCATGTTTTAGTATACTCACATAACCTGTGCTCCTGTCATGTTTTAATATACTCACATAACCTGTGCTCGTGTCATGTTTTAATATACTCACATAACCTGTGCTGGTGTCATGTTTTAATATACTCACATAACCTGTGCTCGTGTCGTGTTTTAATATACTCACATAACCTGTGCTGGTGTCATGTTTTAATATACTCACATAACCTGTGCTGGTGTCATGTTTTAATATACTCACATAACCTGTGCTCGTGTCATGTTTTAATATACTCACATAACCTGTGCTGGTGTCATGTTTTAATATACTCACATAACCTGTGCTCGCTCGTGTCATGTTTTAATATACTCACATAACCTGTGCTCGTGTTATGTTTTAATATACTCACATAACCTGTGCTCGTGTCGTGTTTTAATATACTCACATAACCTGTGCTCGCTCGTTTCAGGTTTTAATATACTCACATAACCTGTGCTCGTGTCATATTTTAATATACTCACATAACCTGTGCTCGTGTTATGTTTTAATATACTCACATAACCTGTGCTCGTGTCATGTTTTAATATACTCACATAACCTGTGCTCGTGTCATGTTTTAATATACTCACATAACCTGTGCTCGTGTCATGTTTTAATATACTCACATAACCTGTGCTCGTGTCGTGTTTTAATATACTCACATAACCTGTGCTGGTGTCATATTTTAATATACTCACATAACCTGTGCTGGTGTCATGTTTTAATATACTCACATAACCTGTGCTGGTGTCATGTTTTAATATACTCACATAACCTGTGCTGCTGTCATATTTTAATATACTCACATAACCTGTGCTGGTGTCATGTTTTAATATACTCACATAACCTGTGCTCGTGTCATGTTTTAATATACTCACATAACCTGTGCTGGTGTCATGTTTTAATATACTCACATAACCTGTGCTCGTGTCATGTTTTAATATACTCACATAACCTGTGCTGGTGTCATGTTTTAATATACTCACATAACCTGTGCTCGTGTCATGTTTTAATATACTCACATAACCTGTGCTCGTGTCATGTTTTAATATACTCACATAACCTGTGCTGGTGTCATGTTTTAATATACTCACATAACCTGTGCTCGTCTCATGTTTTAATATACTCACATAACCTGTGCTGGTGTCATGTTTTAATATACTCACATAACCTGTGCTCGTGTCATGTTTTAATATACTCACATAACCTGTGCTCGTGTCATGTTTTAATATACTCACATAACCTGTGCTGGTGTCATGTTTTAGTATACTCACATAACCTGTGCTCGTGTCATGTTTTAATATACTCACATAACCTGTGCTGGTGTCATGTTTTAATATACTCACATAACCTGTGCTCGTGTCATGTTTTAATATACTCACATAACCTGTGCTGGTGTCATATTTTAATATACTCACATAACCTGTGCTGGTGTCATGTTTTAATATACTCACATAACCTGTGCTGGTGTCATGTTTTAATATACTCACATAACCTGTGCTCGTGTCATTTTAATATACTCACATAACCTGTGCTCGTGCTGTGTTTTAATATACTCACATAACCTTTGCTCGTGCTGTGTTTTAATATACTCACATAACCTGTGCCCGTGAAATGTTTTAATATACTCACATAACCTGTGCTC